TTCCCTAGAGTTCACCCCTTCCTCCCATCGGGGCAATCCTAGGACTGCAGTAACCCATAGCAGAGCTCTTCACAAAATCTGGCTTATTCAACCAAGAATTGCACAATGCGGGAGGGAGGTGGTGTCTTTGGAGTTTTGGGACTCCAGGTCCAATCCTAACAGGTTAGAAAGCGATGTCTCCTCTTTCCTCCTGACTATCCAGGTGGCAGTGAATGGAACACACTTCACATTTCCCAAAGACCAACTGCGTGTTCTCTCTCCACATTAAAGAAGAGAAACCGTTTTCTCAATGAACACAGATTCCTACCCTCAAAGAGTTTGATGCTTTTATTACGCTCTTATTACGCAGAGCTGCATCCTCTCAGATTTGCTTATCCTCCAGCCCCCATGTTTTGCCCAGAGACCTATTGAAGCATAAGAAATGGGACCAATTACCTAACCTAATAAAGCACAGAGCTTCCTATGCCTGGATGGTCCCCCTCTGGCCACACTAAATTCTAGCCCCCAAGGCTTTGAGATACCTCCAGACCAAATCTGTTTTTTTTAGGCAGGACATCTTCATCCCTTTATCTGTAAAAGGAAGAGAGACAGTATGAGGATTAATTACTTTCCTGGGCAGCCCTGCTACAAATTGTACTAGGGTTTACATAGGCTTTGAGGATTTAGAAATGAAGATAAGTCATGTTTAATTTATATCATTCACAATTTCATTGGCTTTGATTCTAGCTCTTTTTAGCCTTCATCTTTCTTGACTGAATAATGATTTTTAAATACATTTTTTTTATCAAAAAGGAGCACCCTACCTCGACCCCTTGCCCCCACCTTAGCTCCATTATTTCAGTTATCTATACCTTGCTGCTTGATGTTCACCTGCAGGCTTGGGCCAGATGTCAACAATCTGGGACACTGCTTGAGGTAATAGTTTCCAAATGTTTACTACCTTCAACTTTGTCTCTTCTTATCTGTCTCAGGCTTCAAGGGTTGACCCCTAATTTAAATCTCCCAAGAATTTGAAAATCAGTCCATGCCCATCCTAACTGAAATTCTCCAAGTTTTAAATTTTAAAAATCATATCCCCTTTTAACTTTTGACTGCATTTTGAAGGCACACAATCAGTCTTGTACATGGTAGGCACTTATTGCTTTATTAATCTCTCTAATGGTTCTGATTAACAAGATGATAATTCCTTTGAACTTCCATAATAATCTTATTAAATGCTTCTATGGTATGAGGAACTGGCTACATATATACATGTGATTTTTAAGGCAGAAGATCAAATTCCACCAAGTGTAATGCATGGAAAGTTTGCTGAGGCCATTGGTTGTTCAGACTGTGGCATCAGACAATCTGAGTTGGAGAACTACTCTGGTATATAGGTTATGTGACCTTGGGCAAGTTATTTTATCTCTTCCAACTTCAGTTTCATCAGCAGTAAAAATGAGGACAATAGTGGTATTTATTTTGTGTGGTTGAGCATTAACTGAGATAAGGCCTGTCACTGGCCCATGGAAAGGACTTAGTCCGCATAAGCTATTATTACTGTGTTGCTGTGAACAATTCAGACATTGACTATGTCAGTGTCTTTCAAGTGGAGACAGAGGACCATTTATATCAGAATCAGCTTAGATACATTTAAAAAATGCAGATGTCTGGGCCCTACTGCGGACTTATCGAATCATGCTTTCTCACACTGAGGCGTAGGTACCTGTATTTTATACAGCTTCCCAGGTATATGTCAATGGGAGGCACTCTAGATTGTCCCAGTGCTGCTGGCTGATTTTCTACCTGCAGCTGTAGGGGTCCTGAGCTGTTCTGTACAAGCTACAGTGATAAGAGAATGGGTAGGCAGCATGCATCCATTTCATTGTGTGCCTGGTGACCTGTTGGTCCAAATTTAAGAAAGATCTTAAAGATCAATTTAAGGGGGCGTTAGTCACTGTGATGCACAGTAGCTGTATTAGCCCTTGTCTCCCATTCCTTTATGAATCTTTTCACACACTGGTTTTAGGCAAAAACTCAAGGACATGTGAAGAAAAAAACCAGAACCAAAGAGGTAGAAATGTTCTGTTAGAACTGCAAGATAACTGATTCAGAAGGCAGAGGATACAAGTGGGAAATAATAATGATAATAAAAGAATGGCATTTAGAAAGGGATATTTTGATGTACTGGACATCTTCGGACTCTTTGCTTTCTGTCCCTTGGGGGTAGGGTAGAAGGTACACAGAGGCTTTGTTCTGTGTGAACAGATTGTTGACAACAGGCCAGTTTAAATTTAGTTTGAAACTATTAAAAATTTAGTTTTATTGGCATCTCAAAAAGGCAGTAATTGTTCTGTTTCTCTCACACATCTATCCCATGAGGCAGGTTGCAACTTGTCCTGTTTGCCCGGGCCTTAGTGGAGTCCCCAGGGAGAGGACAATCAGACAGTGTCATCTTGATAGCATAGCTGCCTCTTAATAGAAAAAAGTTCACTGAAGTGGTAGTTAGTCAGCTTCTTCCTCTCAGTCCCCAAAATGGGGGTCTCTGGAAGCTCTTGTGCTAGGCATCTTTGTAACCTGCAGACAGTCCGCCCCTTCTGGGGAGCTCTGACTACTTGTGATGGACACATACATACCTTTGTATATATGAGGAAGGTGGGGTTTCATGGGGATGATCTCACAGGTTCTCAAATGGCAGATCGAACCTTTTACCACCAGAGAGTGAGCAAGAAGCATGTCTTTGATATCCTTCAGACCCAAGTCCAGGTACCTATCAGCTGCATGACTTTGGGCAGGTGACTGAACTTTAGAGTCCTCATTTTGCTACCTATGTTGTTGAGAAGATTAAATGAGGATGTGCGAGAAAACTCTTAGACAATTCTGGCACACAGGAAGGGCTCGGAAAATGACAGCTGTGGCCAGCGCCCGTGGTCCCAGTATTGCTGTCATTGTGCTAAAGCTCGGGACACGGAAAATGCCTCCCAGATTTTACTGCAGTTAGTGCCCTCAGTAAACAGGATTTAACGATATCATCTAGCATAGATACCTTAAGTAACTCTCTTCACCTTGAAAGACAGTTGAGTTTGTTCAAATAGATTAATCAGAGGAAGGAAATTATGAAATTCAATTGTAAATAACATGGCCAATTCTATAAATCAATCTGTAAATATGAGCGATGCATATTTAAGGACCTAAAGCAGAAATTGAGAAATATAAGGTAACAGCAAATTCTAAAACTTTGGGCTACATCAAGTGTAAAGCAGCCCTCCAGAGAAAGAAGATTAAATATTTACCCAGAAAGTTTACAAAACAATATTTTGGGGAAAAAAATATCTACAAGTTAACATTGTTGTAGGTAAGATGTGCTTTTTGGTCATATTACTATTTCATTGACTAATTTTAGATACGAGAAACTAATGATTCATAAAAGTCTTTCTCTGATGTTGCTTCAAGATGTACATACACTCTCATTTAAAGGTGAGGCTGATTTTCACTTTTTTTGCCATCACAGCTGTCTGCACCCTCTATCCTCATGGGAGCCAAGGCACCTCACAGCATTAAAATAATTTTAAATTCATGAATAAATGAGATTAAACTACTGAAGAGTAATTAGTGATTTCTAGAAGTAATCGATACTATTCAAACCAATCAGAAATTATTATTCAAAAATCTAAAAAACAAGCCAACATTTAATAGTACAAAATTATTTATTAGTAAAACAAAAATTAGAATTTGTTTATTACACAGCAAAGTAAAACAACTGAACGTTCCCTACAAAAATTTTAACTGTAAGCATACAAAATAGGAGTGGCACAATGACCAGGTCTGAGGACTTCAGCTTAATGCCTAAGTTAGCATCAGAAAATTGAAAATGGTGACATGTAAACTGCTCCCGTGATATTTTGTTAAAGGGCTGCCTATTTTGAGTTGTCATTTTGTGTGATAGAAAAATAGGTATACACACGTCATGTTCCAAATTGATGAATTTCTATGAACTATAGCAGATGTCACAGTTTGTTTCCCTCATATAGAAATCACTGGTTGCTGCTGCCGAGGGAGCAAAGTTCACACAGTCTGTGCCAGGATAGGCAAAATACTCGGATGCTCTGATGGTGTCCAAGTGTTCTGCTTCACAGGATGCACAGTAGCAGCTGGAGGTGGTGGCCGAGGAGAAGCAGTCGTACTGGGCGTGCGAGGGCAAGTGAGGGTAAGAGTAGTCTTCTGAGGAATAGCCACAGTTTCTGGTGTCCAGGGAAGGGGGAGAATTATAATTCTCTGGAGCATACAAAGGTAGCTGAGCTGGCGAGTAACTGCAGTCTAAGGAACTGGAGAGAGTGCAGGAATCTGAAGGCGATCCTGGGATCTAGAGAAATGAAAACCAAGGAACAAAGAGCTCGATAACTTAGGCTTAAAAGAAGTGAATAGAGTAGATTTATTAACTCAAAGTGAGAACAGTAAGGGTAAAGAAAAATAATACAACAAAATACCCAACCCAACCCAAGTCTGCAGAAGTAATTTTATTTGCTGATCGCATGATTTCATGACACCACATTCTATATTTACCTATTTCTTTCCTAACAATAAATTGCCTTGCTTCACTGGTTTCCTTTGTTATAACTATACTTTAGAGGATGCTTTGTCCTTAGACCACAAAATCCCATTGTGCTTCAAGTCACCTGTATATCAAATCCTGCTGTGTACCACAATATAAGCTGCAGGTGGCACCTTGGATGTTTCTCCACACCCTTGGCTGTAGAGAACAAGGTGAACATACTCAAGTAGAACTGGGATCTTCAATGGTCCAGTGTCTGGGAGACTCCAAAATGTGAAAGAACTCTTATAGTCACTAAAGTCTTGTCCCCTGAGGAGAAAGGTACCTTCTGCTTTCTCTTAAGGAGGGCTACAACTGTTGCTGAGAAAGCCTAACTTGGAAGCTGGATGGGAACTGGATGATTGGGGGCCCTGTATGCATATTCTATGGAGTTAATTTCCTATACCCTTAAAATTTAGCCTGATACCTATACAGACTTTTGACAAACCAGAAGAAAACATCATTTACATAAAAACAAACAAACAAAAAAAACTTTTTTAAGATTTTTAAAAAAAGTATACGAGTGTCTAAAAGACATTAAAACATCTGCTATCTACTAATACAAACCTTACTCCATTTTAAATATCACAGTTTCAAACATTTTGAGGTCCATCAAAAACAGACCATCCAAATTCAAGTATTAGAGTTTCATTTATACTAATCATCTCAGATCCAAATGAGTTCTTGTGCCTAAACTAGACCAAAAGTTTAGTCTAGTTAGTAGAGCCAATTAAATGTCAAAATAAATCAAAACCCACTTATCAGAATGAGAGTTTAGTACTGTATAGACACAGCTTTAATTCCATTTTCAAAAAACCCCAAATCCAAAGGCCATTATTTAAATCAGTGATTTCCAATTAGTACCTGTTTTAACTTTGCAGTTTAAAAATATTAAATATATATTGCCAGGAAACCATTTTATTGCCATACACTAAATTTGGCATAGCAACTTGGGAAATGTGTGCCTATTTCTACCTCCACTGAGAAGTAAATGATTCTCTGATGATTTCCTTGTTGATAATGTTTGATTTCTCACGAGATGATGCAAACTCTCTTACAAAGCATTATTATTCCATTCTAAGCAATAAATAGGTTTTGTTAAGACTGAGATAAATTACCAGGCTCTGGTTAAAGCAGAAAGGGGTATCCTGGAAGTTGTCGGGAAAATAGTGTGGAGTACTTTGCATGGAATTGAGCAAAGGGTCCACGTTCGTCTCTGTCTGAAGGTAGGAATCCAAGATCTCATCAAGGCAGCTTGGGTTTTCTTCACAAGAAACACAACTGGAAAATTCTCGGGGTTGAAAATAATTAGGTGTGGAAGAAATTGACTCAGGTTCAAAATACAGTCCTAGAAGAGAAAGGAAAAAAAATTCTCTTTTTGTTTAAAAATTGCACTTACAGATTTGAATAAAATTCTGTTCTATATTTTGAACATTTATTATGTCTAAGGGAAAGGGGGCTTAAGACCTTCTAGAAAAGTAAACAGGCAGACAGTCCAGATTTTTCAATTGCCTTAACTAACTCAAGTTCCAGTGAAGTGAATCTGGTTAATAATGTGGAAACTGGCTGTGCATGTTGCTAGGGCTAAAATTAAAAAAAAAAAAAAATTCGTCTCTGTCTGAAGGTAGGAATCCAAGATCTCATCAAGGCAGCTTGGGTTTTCTTCACAAGAAACACAACTGGAAAATTCTCTGGGTTGAAAATAATTAGGCGTGGAAGAAATTGACTCAGGTTCAAAATACAGTCCTAGAAGAGAAAGGAAAAAAAATTCTCTTTTTGTTTAAAAATTGCACTTACAGATTTGAATAAAATTCTGTTCTATATTTTGAACATTTATTATGTCTAAGGGAAAGGGGGCTTAAGACCTTCTAGAAAAGTAAACAGGCAGACAGTCCAGATTTTTCAATTGCCTTAACTAACTCAAGTTCCAGTGAAGTGAATCTGGTTAATAATGTGGAAACTGGCTGTGCATGTTGCTAGGGCTAAAATTAAAAAAAAAAAAAAATGATGATGATCTAACCTGTGCCCAACTGTCACAGTCAAATAATGGCTCAAGCCTCCACTTTCTTGGACTATACAAAGCATCCATATCCAGCCCCTATCTGCAATTCAAGTAAACCTCTCAGAAGTAGCTTATAGAGTTGTTTAAGGCTTTAGAAAAACTTCAGATGTCACAGGAAATAATTCTCTTGATTTAGGGTTATTATGTCCCTAAACTTTTCACACTTATTCAGTAACTTCAATTTTGAGCAGTGATATAATTGGCAATATAAATTATAAAAACAGAAACCAGGAATGTAGAGAACAAATTAGCACTAGTTCTAAATTACAAAAAACAAAAATGCTTTTTGTTAACATGATAATGGAATTAAAATAAGCTGTTAAATACTAAACAAGAAGACTTCTGAAAATATAACTCCTTTTCCATTTTAGTATTAAGAGACCCGAAGTGTGGTTATTATCCTTAAATGCTCTAAGAGGATAGGTTTAGAGTATGTCCATCGGAGAGATGACAGAACATTGGGTTTTTTGAAGTCTTAAGATTCCTTTGAGATTAAGTGAAAGTAGCACATTCAATGGTGAGCTACCATAAGCATGTTCCCTCATATATGGCCTCTTTAAACCCTTAGCTGTTGAGTGGCACAGTAGGAGTGTTTATGTAATAGAGTTATTTGTACTGGGCTGAGAAAACTTACACTTGTTTGAACTGCTTTCTGGGAAGAGAGAAAAGAAGGGGAGAGAAGCCCCTGTCGGCTAGAAACTGAACAAGAGCAAAGGCATGATTCTAGGACTTCAGGATGTTGTGTATTCTATCTAATGATACACAAAAACGATAGCAAGTTTCTAAAAACAATTCTGGTCTTGCAGTCTAGTTTAGCTACCTGGAGATGAGGAACCAGAATAAATGAGAAGAACAAATTGGGGCTAGATTAGGCAGCAGAGAATAGACATGTCAGAAAGAAGAAAACATTTACACTTTGTTTTCTTGAGGGGCTTCCATCTGGAGTCACTATGCCTTTTTCACCTTCTGATTGGTTGGATTGCAATTAAATGGTGGTGCCTATCTTAACCCTTGAATCAAGCATTGCAAGACTTTCGAGATGGACTTTTGAAAGAGTTTTTGAGGGAATTGTAACGCTGGCTGTACTGACCTGCAGAAGATGCTGTGACTGGATCTGAAAGGTGGACACTGTCTCCTCTGGACAGCTGCCAAAGCAAGAATACGATCATAAAGCAAAGTGAAATGAAAGTTCTATAAAGGGAAAGTTAAGACATTTTGATCTGAACTATGTTGCTTCTGCTCTAAGGTAAGCCAGATTCTTTCTTCTAAAAAAAGTTGCTGTCATTAAATACAACCAATGTTATATTTCATTTAGATTCAGTTTTTAGGTTTGCTTGTTTTTGTTTTCCCCCCAATATCAGATTCTCCCACTTAAATTTTAAAGGCTATTAATTTTGATAAAAATTTAATTTAAATGATTTTTATATTACAGAAATGTAACTGTTCAAGAAAACTCAGTAAAGAGCATTTCTATTAAACTATTTAATTTATAATTAATAAGGACTTACATTTATTTAGTCCACATTTATTTAATCCCAACTTCTATGACTCAGTCAATCATTTTCTTCAAAATTTTCATATACCATCCGGCTGCTTAGCCTTAGGAATTCATTTTCCCCAAAGGACATAATTCTTAACTTTGTTAATCCTGGATAGCTCAAAATATTCACATATTCTTACTAGCTACGAAAAATAGGAAATGTTTTCTTAAAGCTGTAGTCATTAAGTTGGAGCCTATCTATATTCTAGTTAATGGTCAGGAAATATCGCAACTCTTTGTATGTTTTTTACTAATTTTTATAAAAGTTGCTTTTTTTAATGACTATATTTGAATACTTGAAGTTTATGAGAGTGTTCTTTTTAAGCTAGAGTAAAGCAGCCTGTATCTTCTAGTTGAACTGATAATTTCAACTGAGAAATTTAGAATTTATTATTGTTACCTTCTTTAGGTTTTAGGCGGTGGTTTAAAGTTTAAAGGAACCAGCATCGCTTTGCGTTTCTGTGCTGGGAAGCTGAGCTCACTACACCTCTCTCTTGGGTTACAGGGTATACTTACTCCTGTACAAGAAGCCACTGTGAGACTGCACAGTCAGCCACTGCTGAAACAGGAGGTGGTGTTAATTTTGAAAATGATCCATGCCATAATGTCATGAACCAGGAAGCTGGAATCCTTCGCCAGCTCTTCATGCAAATATTTGGCTGCAGCTTGAGTTAAAGGACTTGGAAGGAGCGAGTTTTAAAAACTCTGCTTCATTGTAGAGCTCTCATTAACCCCATCCCTGCCCCCCCTCCAATGGTCTGTTTGTCTGCCTCCCCGCCTTATCTCCCTCGGGTATGTTTACAATATCCTACTTGATATTATCTTTCTAGTCACGGGTTCACTTTCTACTTTGCTCCAAGAATACAAAGAAAGGCACTTCTCTCTTAGATTTCAAACAGCACAAAAATTCACAATCTACAATTAAAAAAACACATCAAGGCTGTTAAAAAATAAATGATTAAAAAAGGCGAATTATATCTTTTGATAAGTACTAACTCAAGTTTCCCTTTATCCTGAAGGTAAAATAATTATGTGTGTATATGCCTCTCTCTCTCTGTCTCTCCGTCTCTCTCTCTCTGTCTCTCTCTCTGTCTCTCTCTGTCTCTGCCTGTCTCTGTGTGTGTGTGTGTGTGTGCGTGCAAATTGATCTGGCCTGGCTGAAATCAGTTTTTACTTTTTAATTAAATTTACAAATCTTGCATGCACACATTTCTTCTGGCATTGTTAGACTGTGATATTTGTCTCCATCTGTGACTTCCATTCACAACTGCCTTTTTAAAATTTCAAATTGTGGATACTACTCTGACTTTCTAACAAATTAAGATAAATTTCTTCCTGCTTTGTATATTTAATAAAATTAATTCTCTCCTTGCCTTAAATTTACCTAGAGGTATCCTTCAACCATTGAACAAGTCAGAGATTATCTCTGTTAAACCAGAAGATTCTACACCAAGAAGCAGGCATCCATTATCCCCTGGTACCTGCCATCCTTGCCTACTGAGCATACCTTCACAGCTTTCCTGGAATCCCAGATCCTTCTGATGGTGCCCAGGGAGAGATTTTACATCTGGCTCTTGTAATTAAATCATCTCTGTGTTACTCCTCCTGCCTGCGAGGGCATGGGCGGATATAATATTCAAGGAAGCGGAGTGGAGAGCAGGCTTTGCCCGGCAAAGCACTGGTTCAGAAGTTCTGCTTTACTATTTCTCGGGGGCGGGGGATTCAGAAAAACTTAGATAAGTCAGATCTCTCCAGGGAAGAGATACTGGTCAGATATGCAGGTGAAATATTTAACCCTTGCCTTCCTTTCTGCAGCTAGCTAACAGGGGAACAGTGGCCAAACCAACCTGTAAGAGGCCAACAGCAATAAAATCGCCATGCCCAAAGAGACTTCTCCAGGCTCAGCTGAAGCAGAACACTACCATGTACCAAAGCTCCATAATGAAAGATTACATTTTGTTATGAATATCTTGATCCTGGTTTTATTAACTTTATCATTATCTCTGAATTGAAGGGGTTGATGGTTGAGAATACCAGACTCCTGCTCAGCACAGCTGGGTCTGCAGAAAGATGAATTTAGGGAGCCAATAGGCGAAAGGTTTTTTGTATTAAGAATAAGAATTTGGTTCTATTTTGAGGTCTACCATCAGTAACTGCAAGACTTTGAACTTCAGTTGTTAATAGAGGCACACAGAACCCTGTTCTACTTACATCCCCTAGTTATTTATAACTAGTGCACAAAAATGCTTTAAAAGAACCACCATAAAATCCTCAACAAGTGGAAGGAAGTTTTATTGTGTTAGCTGGAATTCTGCATACGGAGGTACTAACTTCTCCAGCAAATGTAAAATTTGTGCTGTATGTGCCATATCACAGCAAGCTCACACTTGAATTCTAACCTCTTAGCAAAGGGTGCAGATGAACATTACAGAGTGCTAGCTTTCAAGCTTTGGTTGTAATTTCATTGTAGTTGTTTTTCACGAATAATGACAGCTAACATTAATTGAGCACTTACTACATGGAAAGTATTCTTCTAAGTGCTTTATAGGCAATGACTCATTTAACCCTCACAAAATCTTATTATCTTCAGTTTAAAGATGAGAAAATAGAGGCAAGGGAGATGGAGTAACTTGCAGGGAGAGGAGCAGCCAGCAGGTAAGTTGGGAGATTTTCTTTGCATATGTGAGGGAACATACACTTCCTAACAGAATAACAACCAACTAACCTGCTGGCTGCTCCTCTCCCTGCACAGGACCAACAAGCCCTTCATACTCAGGATCAGTGAGGGATGGGCTCCCCCAAATCCTGAGCCCCACAACATGTCACAACTATTCTTTGTGGCTTCCTGTGGTGGACAGGGATGAAGCTGGACTCTGAAGTTATAAGAACACTTGAGGAAGGCCAGATCTGGGGGTGGTGACTGGGGCCTAGGGTGGCCTCTACACCTTCTCAGATGAAGGGTTAAGTGAGGCCGAATAGGAGTTGGGAGTAAGTGAAAGGTTTATGCTTACAGTTCCCCCTGAGGCTGCTTGGTGAGCCCTTCTCTGCTGCAGCAACTCCTTCACTGTGATCTTCACCCGGACACCTTGATACACCTTTGGTTTTTCTGGGGAAAGGCAACCAAGTCAGTAGTCAAGTGTGAGGTCTGGGTGTCATGCTGGGGTGTGGGGGTCCTCTTTATAGACCATGGCATCTGAGGCCAGGTTTCTAGGTTTAGAGAACACAAAAAGAATGCTGAAAGACAAGTGGAAAAGAAACTCAAATTTCTCAAACTTGAAGGGGTGCAGGGAGGCTGGGCAGGTTGCAGGGCCTCAGTGGGAATCAGAACGTATGGAAATTTATGGGGCCATCCACCCCAGCTGGGTCCTACCCCCAGAGCAATAGCATATAGATTTTTCTGCCCAGGAATGTGCAGACCAGTCCAGAGAAGCTCACTACCTTGGCTAATTAAGTTAAGGGAACCTGGGTCCAGCCGGCTGGCCCGGGAGAGGGTATTATGGACCTGGGAGGGGCCGGGGGCTGGCACAGGAGCGCTCCAGCTGACCTAGCCCACCCTTCTGCGATGCTCCCACTGGTGTGCAAGCCCTGAGTCCCTTCTTTCTCCACCATGCCAGGTGTGGCTTCTGAGGAGGCTCCGACCTCTATGTGCCCTTGGTCTAGAAGCCAGCCCTGGGGCAAGCTGTGGAGTTCGGCGAGCCTTGTCCTTGGGCCGGCGAAGGACCTGCCAGACTGACCCCAGGAAAGGGCCCAGACCCGGGGAACTCATTCCCTCCCTCCCGTCGATCTTTTTCTTCTGCTTTTCCTCTCTCGTCCCCTTCCTCCGCCTTTCTCGTTCTCCACTCCATCTTTTCCTCCTCCCTCCTCAGGTCCCGCTCCCGTTCTCCCCTTCCTCCCGTCTCTCCCCACCCCCTCCCTTTCTGGTGCAGGCATTTCTCGGCGGTGCACGGAGGCTCCGAGTCGAGTCCGCGCAGCGCGAGTTCCGGGAAAGCCGTGCTGGGCTCCCGAGGATCGCGCGCTCGGCTGGGAGGCCGCGCT